ATCAAGACGACCCTGGCCAACATGGTGAAACCGTATCTCTACTAAAATACAAAAAAATTAGTCGGGCATGGTGGCATGTGTCTGTAGTCCCAGCTACTCGGGAGGCTGAGGCAGGGGAATAGTTTGAACCCGGTAGGCGGAGGTTATAGTGAGCCAAGATTGTGCCACTGCACTCTAGCCTGGCAAAAGAGCAAGACTCCGTCTCAATAAAAAATAAAAAATTAAAAAAAATACCTGAAGGATCTAATACGTTATCTTTCTTAAAGGCTAAACTGCCATAGTTTTATGAGTATTATTGGAAGACATGAGACTCTTGGGTTAGAGAAAAAACTTTATTACAACACAGCAAGAATCATAAGCATTAGCATATTGTTTTATAGTTTCACATGCCTCCAAATATTATAGGGAGATATGACATGGGCCCATGTGGATGATAAGTGTGCAGAGAAATTGCATGGCAGGTAAGGAACCTTGAGCTTGAAGAAACTACCACTTTTGTAGTGACAGTAAACAAGTCTGCTGTTTGTCTGCAGGATGATGTCACTGTATCTCTCAAGATTTCTTGCCAAATATAAAAGCAAACCAGGGCCTTGCATTATTGACATGCCCTGAAAGAACATGTAAGGTTATTCAGGGCCCATGGTGGATTGTTGCTTTATGGAGGAAGAGGGAGGCCAAAGTTGTCTCTGAGATAATTTCTCTTAAATAACTTTACTGAGGTACAGCTGGCATACAATACACAGTACATACTGAAAGTATACAATCGGATATGTTTTGACATATGAGTGCACCCTTGAAATCATCACAACCATCAATCAACTAACATATTCATCACTCCCAAGTTTCCTTGTATGGCTTTGTAATTAGTCTCTCCACTATCTCCCTCCCCCATCATCAGGCAAACACTGATCTGCTTTTAGTTACTATATGGTAGTTTGTGGCTCCCAAAATTTTGTACAAATTGAATGATTAGGATACATATTCTTATTTGTGTGGCTTCTTTCACACATCATGATTTTACTGAGATTCAACTGTACTGTAGTATGTTTTTGTTGCTGCACAGTATTCCATTGCATGGATGTATTAGTTTGTTTATGCATTGGCCTGTTGATGGACATTGGGTTGTTACCAGTTTTTGCTACTATAAATAAAGATACTGTGAATGCTCAGGTACAATTCCTTCTATTGGCATATACTCTTATTTTTATTGGATAAATATCTAGAAGCAGAATAATGTAACAATATGTTAGGTATATAGTTAGCATTTTAATGAAATTCTAAATTGTTTTGCAAAATGAGTATACAATTTTTTATTTCCACAAGCTATACAAGAGTTCTAGCTTCTTTATCCTTGCCAATATATGATAGGACCATTTTTTTTGTTTTTGAAACTCAGTCTCACTGTGTTGCCCAGGCAACAGTGGCATGTTCTCGGCTCACCGAAACCTCCACCTCCCGGGTTCAAGCGATTCTCGTGCGTCAGCCTGCCAAGTAGCTGGGATTACAGGTGTGCACCACCACACCCGGCTAAATTTTGTATTTTTATTACAGATGGGGTATCACCATGTTGACCAGGCTAGTCTGAAACTCCCAACCTCAGGTGTTCCACCCACCTCAGCCACCCAAAATTCTGGGATTACAGGCACAAGCCACCTCATTCAGCTGTGATATGGTCACTCTTTTTAATTTTAGTCATTTGAACGATTATGTAGTGGTATCTCGTTGTGGTTTTAATTTGCATTTTCCTGTTGACTAAGGATGTTGAGTGTTTTTTCATGTGTTTATTTGCCATTCATATACCTTCTTTGATAAAGGTACCATTTTTTAAATGAGGCCATTACTATTGAGACTTGAGAGTTCTTCATGTGTTCTAGATACAAGTACTTTATCAGATATATAGGAAATTGATTTTGCCTTCCTAGGGCATGTATTTTCATTTTTCTTAGCAGTATTTTTTGAAGAGCAGATACTTTTAATTTAGATGATTTCCAGTTTATCAGTTTCTTCTTTTATGGACCACACGTTTGGTTTTATATCATGTCTAACTCATGGACAGAAAAGTGCCGTCAGATGTTTTTTTTTTTTTCAGAATATTTAATCTTTTTTGAGTTAATTTTTATGTAAGTTACAGAGTGTAGATTAAAGAGGATATTTTTCCATATAGTTTTCAATTGTACAGTCTCATTTGTTGAACTCTGCCCTGTGTCCACTAAATTTTGTTTTCACCTTTGTCAAAATTCAGTCTCCTAGATATGTGTGGGTCTATTTTTGTAGTCTCTATTCTGCACCATTAATCTTTGTGTCTGTCTTTACCCCAGTACCAGTGTATTAACTGTTATAGTTTTATATGTATTGAAATCAGGTTGTATTAGTACTCCAGCGTTGTTCTTTTTCAAAGTTGCTCTGACTATTTTGGGTTCTTAGCCTTTTCATATGATTTTTGGATCTTTTTAAAATTTCTACAAAAACAAAGCTTGCATTCATTTTAAATGAGATAACATTTAATATGTAGATTAATTTAGGGATAATTTACATTTAACAGTATTGAATCTTTGAACTATGTTATCTCTTTCCATTTATGTAGGTCTTCTTTATCCCAGCATTCTTTTTGCAGTTTTCAGTGTGCAAATATTTTCCATTTTGTCAGATATATCTAAGTATTTCATATTTTTGTGCTATTCTAAATTGTATTCTTTTAAAATTTCAACATCTGATTGCTCATTGGTAGAATATAGGCATATGAGTGAGTTTTGCACATTAATCTTATATCTTGCAACTTTGCTAACTCAGTTATGTTAACTCTAGTAGCTTTTCTGATAGATTCCGTCAGATTTTCTATATAGAGGAGTTATGTATTGTCTAAAATGACTGTGTGCCTTTCCAGTCTGAATGTCTTATTTATTTACTTACTTACTTATTTAGGTCTCCTTACACTGGCTAGAACCTCCAGGATATGTTGACTAGAAGTAGTGAAAGCTAACGTTGTTGTCTTGTTGCTGAGTTTTGGGCAAAAGTATTACTTTTTCTCTTAAGTATTCAGTTAGCCATAGTTTTTCATAGATGCCTTTTATTAGGTTAAGGGTATGTTCCTTTCTGTTCCTAGTTGACTGAGAGGTTTTATTAGGAGTGAATGTTAGATTTTTTCACATGCTTTTTCTTCATTTATTGAGAAGAACATACACTTTTTCTTTTGAGTTAACAAGATGAATCACATTGACTGATTTTTAATTCATTAAGCTGGCCAGGTATGTTGGCTCATAGACAAACTATGAATTTCTGACATAGATCTCCTTGGTTATGATATATTATTCTTTTTATATATTGATTGGCTAAATTTGATGAAATTTTGGTTATAATTTTTGCATCTACATAAGGAATATTGTTTTGTAGTTTTTATTTTTCTTTAATATATCTGGTTTTTATATCAGGACAGTGCTGGCCTCAGAATGAATTAGGAATTCGTATAGAATTGGTTTTATTTCTTTCTTAAGTTGCTTGATAAAAATCACCACTGAAGTCATCCGAGCCTACAGTTTTTCTTTGTGGAAAGATTTTTGACTAAAAGAATCAATAGGCATGGTGCTATTCAGTCTGTTTATTTCTTCTTGAGTGAGCTTTGGCAGTTTGTGTCTTTCAAGGAATTTGTGTATTTTATGAAAGTTTTCAAGTTTATTTACATAAAGTTGTTCATAATTCCTTTATTACCTTTTAGTATCTGCAGAATATTTTGTAATATGTAATGAGATCTCCGTTATTCTTAACATGGCTAATTTGTTTCTACTCTTTTTACCTAATTCATCTGGCTAGAAGTTTGTCAATTTTACTCATCTTTTCAAAGAGCCAGTTTTTGGTTTCAGTGTTTCTTGTTTTCATTTTCTGGTTCGATACCTGTTCAGAGCTTTATTATTTTATTTCTTCTCTTTACTTTGGTTTTTATTTCCCCTTCTTTTTCCATGTTCTTAAAATGAAAGTTTAGGTCATTGATTTGAGACTTCCTCTCATTTCAAATGAATACATTTCCCCCAAGTACTCCTTTGGTGACATCCCACAAATTCTGATATGTTGTGTTATAATTTTCATTCAGTTCAAAATACTTCCAATTTCCCTTTTGATTTCTTTTTTGATTCATGGGTTATTTAGAAGCATTGTATAGTTCCAAGTATTTGAGGATTCTCTTTGGATATCTTTTTGTTACTGATTTCTAATCTGAAACTATTTTGGTTAGAGAATAAGCTTTGTATGACTTGAAGCCTTTTAAACGTGTTGAGACCTGTTTAATGGAACCAAATATTGTCGATCTTGGTCAACATTCCATGCACACTTAAAAAGAATGTGTGTTTGCATGAATTACTGTATGAATTTAAAGTAAGTCAATTGGGCGTTAGCATTGTTTGGTGTACTTATTGTTTTGATTCTTGGAAAAGGGAGGAATTGAAAACTTCAACTATAATTGTGAGTTTTTCTTTCTTTTCTGAGACAGAGTCTCACTCTGTTGCCCAGGCTAGAGTGCAGTAGTGCAGCCTTTGCTCACTGCCACCTCTCCCTCCTTCCTCCAAGCAATTCCCCTGCCTCAGCTTCCCTCATAGCTGGGATTACAGGTGCATGCTACCATGCCTGGCTAATTTTTTTGTATATTTAGTAGAGATGGGGTTTCACCATGTTGGCCAGAATGATCTCAAACTCCTGACCTCAGGCAGTCTGCCCGCCTTAGCCTCCTAAAGTCCTGGGATTACAGATGTGAGCCACTGCGCCTGGACTTTTCTATTTTTTTAATGTAGATTAGGTTTCAAAATATATGGCCTGCATATCAAATGCAGTGAATAGTGAAAGTGGAAAATTATTGTTACTAGCATTATTATAAAAGGCCTCATTAGGACACATCTTTGTTTTGTCCTATAGCATGCATTATTTGGAACATCATCTTCATATGCAAAAGAAACATTTACCTAATTCTGTTGTTTTATCATTTATCTAATTCATGTTATTGTTTTGCTTGGCAGCTTCTATGTTTTTGAAGCAGGCATTTGAGGGAGAATACCCCAAATTATTACGTCTTTATAATGACTTATGGAAGCGTCTTCAACAATATGGTCAGAATATCCAAGGGAATTTTAATGCCAGTGGAACTACAGACCTCTATGTTGACCTACAACTCATGGAAGATGATGCACAAGATATATTCATACCAAAAAAGCCGGATTATGAGTATGTTTGTTTAATTTGACCTGTTAGTTGGCATCTTAAGGATTTTTATATTTTATTTTTATTTTAAATTATAAATCAAGTATACACCAAGTCTCTAAATGTTTGTAATTTATTTGTATATCTTAAAAGAATTTACAGTACTTTTAACTGAAGAAGTCAGTCTTCACCCTTAGTTGAGCACTTCTACTTAATGTTACGCTTTAAAATTGACTTCCTGCTGGAGTCAGTCTTTTAGCTAGAAGATGATCATGTTGTAGTCATTGTATTTTAATAGGTGTTATAATATACCTCTAATTACCTTAGATGTTATAATTATACCTGTATCATTTATTGAAGGACCGCTGGCATAAATGTGACATAAAAGGAACTGGAGTATTCAGAAAATACAGGGGAGGTAAATCTTATGTTGGGATAGGTTCTTAGTCGATGTGTTAAGAAAAAGCGGAGTAGAGTCATCCGTTGGTATTTGTAGGGGATTGGTTTCAAGACCCATTGGGAAGCTCAAGTTTCTTATGTAAATTGACATAATATTTGCATTTAACCTATGCATATCATCTCTCAGTTACCTATAAAACCTAATACAACGTAAATGTTATGTGTAGAGTTACTATACTGTATTGCTTAGGGAATAAGAAAAAATATGCATAAATGTTTCATTACAGCCACAACCATTGTGGGCCTAACTAGGTTTACAATCCATGGTTGGTTTAATCTTTGGATATGGAATTTGCAGAAATGGAGGTCCAACTGTATAGTCAAAATTACCCCTGAAAATCTCTTAGGCCACCCATAAAGTATAGTAGCATAGCCATATTTAGGAGCCATACTGGAAACCAGGGTACCGTCTCAGCAAGTTTAGCCCACCCAGCTTTTCCTCCAAAATTGAAAGAGTATTTTAAACTTTCAATTTGAGCATTAGATCATGTGATTGGCTTTCACACCTACCTTTAAACACTAGAAATATATTTATTGTGTCAAGACCTGCTAAAGCAGTAGCAGTTCCTTATCACCTACCTTGTAAGAAAAATGTTGATAGACTCATGAGTGCTATTTAAATAGTTGTTTCTCTTTTAATTTTATTCCTAAATACATATAGTTAAATTTGTGTCCAGTATAGTTAGAAGTTCTGTCTAGCAGAATATAGTATATAGAAGTTCTGACTAGTGCTGGGCAGAGTGACACATGCTTGTAATCCCAGCTACTTGGGAGACTCTCTTGAGCCTAGGAGTTAGAGGCCAGTCCGGGCAACATAGTGAGACCCTGTCTTTCTTTTTTAAAAAAAAAAAAGAGTAGTTTTGACTGGCAAAATAAATGGCCATTATAGTCTAGAATCATAGAAAGAGACCAGATTATCTTCTTAGTAACTCTTTTATATAGGCAGATTCAGTTAGGCCTGATAGGGCAAAAGAGGACAGAACCTATATCTGTTGATCTTCAAAGATTTAATGATATATCACAGTTTTTCAAAGTATATATAAAATAGCAAATACAGTATAATTCTATTTCTGGCTTAGTTTTATTTTTAAATCTATATGCATGCACTAAAAAAGTTCTAGAAATACACAAAGCAAACAGTAACAGTAGTTGATTTCTAGGAGGTAGAATCCTCATTTTGAGTTTTCTGGTTTTATATAAAATGAATATATGTTACTTATGTTTAAAAAAAAAGAAGGAAGGAAGAGGAAGGGAAGGGAGAGGGAGGGGGTGGAAAGGGAAAAAGGAAGGGAAGAGGGAGGGGAGAAAAGAAAGAAAGCCAGGTGTGGTGGCTTATGCCTTTAATCCCAGCACTTTGGGAGTCCAAGGTGGGAATATCACCTGAGGTCAGGAGTTCGAGACCAATCTGGCCAAAATGGTGAAACATCGTCTCTACTAAAAATATAAAAAATTAGCCAGGTGTGGTGGCCCATGCCTGTTATCCCAGCTACTTGGGAGGCTGAGGCAACAGAATGGCTTGAACCTGGGAGGTGGAGGTTGCAGTGAACTGAGATCGTGCCACTGCCCTCCAGCCTGGGTGATAAAGCAAGACTCAATCTCAAAAAATAAAGTAAATTAAATGGAGGTAAAACAAATTAAAGTGAAAAAAGTCATAGTGTTTTCACTAACAGGATATTATTGTCACTTTTTGGAGATGAATTCAGTAAAGTGGTTGGTAAGGAAAATGAGATATAAGAGCCATATTTCAAGATGTCAAAAAATAATGAGGGTACAAGGACACAAACACAATGAAGAGTTGAGTTTTCATGGATGGAAGTAGCCAGTGGAGAGAAAAGAGATGGGAAATGTAAGAAAGAAAAGAGATAATGAATGGAACCAGGCCCTAGAGGAATCAGAAGAGAATCAAAGCATGAATAGCAAGGGTTATCATTTTTCATGATTCTTTACTCGTGTCAAAATTTCAGTAGTGATAATTGCTATGAAGAAAGTAAAATAATACTATAGAGTTGCTTACTGCATAGAATGTCAGAGAAAGCTTCTATGAAGAGGTAATATTTGACCTGAGATCTAAATAGTGTGAAAGAGTCAACCATGGGAAATGTAGCGTAAGGTTTTTGCAGGCAGAACAAATTTAGAGGGCTTAAGAAAATTAAGGCTGGGTGTGGTAGCTCACACCTGTATCCAAGCACTTTGGGAGGCTGAGGCAGGTGGATCACTTGAGGTTAGGAGTTTGAGACTAGCCTGGCCAACATGATGAAATCCTGTCTCTACTTAAAAAAAAAAAAAAAAATACAAAAATTAGCTGGGCATGGTGGCACATGCCTATAATCCCCGCTACTGAGGAGGCTGAGGCAGGAGAACTGCATGAACCCAGGAGGTGGAGGTTGCGGTGAGCCCAGATCGCGCCACTGCACTCCAGCCTGGGCTACAGAGCAAAATTCCATCTCAAAAAAATAAGAAGAAGAAGAAAGAAAGAAAGAAAGAAAAGAAAAGAAAATTAAGATGAGGAGGTTTGAAGAACAGAAAGAAGCCAGTGTAGTTGGAACAAAGAAGGGAAGTGTTTAAGATTGGATCAGAAAGGAAAGGAAATGTGAGATCATGTAGTGCTTTATAGGTGATGGTAAAGGGATTGGGAGTTTATCCTAATAAAGTGAGAAATCATTGATTTAGAGGAATGATGTGAACTGATAAACATTTTAAAATTAGCCCTCTGACTACTATGTAGACAACTAAGGGAGGTCAGCACAGAGTTGGGGAAGTGAAAGATGGAAGCTATTTTGTTTATCCAGATAAGAGATGATAATGATTTGAACTGGGATGAGCAGATGAGGTGCTAATTTGGTCAGATTGAGTCAACATATATTTTGAAGCAGGATCTATAGAGGGCAAGCCATGGATTTGAGAGGACAGGGGAATCAAGGATATGAACTAGTTGTTGGAAGATTGACTGGTTAAGATAGGAAGACTTTTTTCAAAGCATTGTATTGAATTAAAATTTTTCTTTTGAAACTGGTGAACTGAAAATGCGAATAGAGTTGTTGAAAATGTAATTAAATATGAGTCAGGGCTAGAAATATGTATTTGGAAGTCATGTACTTTTTTTTTTTTTTTTTTTTTTTGAGATGGAGTCTTACTCTGTCACCCATGCTGGAGTGCAGTGGTTTGATCTCTGCTCATTGCAACCTCTGCCTCTGCGTCCTGGGTTCAAGTGATTCTCCTGTCTCAGCCTCCCAAGCAGCTGGGATTATAAGCGCACACCACCATGCCTGGCTAATTTTTGTATTTTTAGTAGAGACAAGGTTTTGCCATTTTGGCCAGGTTGAACACCTGACCTCAGGTGATCCGTCTGCCTCCGCCTCCCAAAGTGTTGGGATTACAGGCATGAGCCACACACCAGGTCATCATCATGTACACTTTTTAAATTGTGGAATTGGAAGAGATTACATAGGGAAGATGTATATGTATATAGAGAAAAGAGCCTTGATCCAAGAAAGGTACCAGCATTTATAGATTAGACAGTGGAGTGGCAGCCTACAAAGGAGACAAAGAAAAAAGGGTGAGATAGGCGGACAACTCAAAGCAGTTTGGAGGCCCAAAGAATGAGTTCATTTATGTTAGAGTCTGGAAATGGTCCTAAAAGCAAACAGCAAAATGAAGAAGCGTCTGTTCAAGAAAGTCTATGAAAATTTGGTTAGAAAAATGGGAGCCTGTGGTATTTGAGCCAAGATTGTTCCCTTCTTATCCCCTGTCAGCTTAGTGAAGTGGAGATTCTTCTCTAGACATCAGTAGTCAAGAACATAGGGCTCTCTCTCTACTAGCTCCCAGCTGGAAGGCTCTCTTCCGGGGAAGAGCAGGGCCTCAGCATTTCTCCTAATTCCCTCAGCAGACAGTTGCTGAGGTTAATTTTCCAGGTAAGTGAAGTCAGGAGTAGGGACCTCCCATATTGTGCCCAGTTCCCATGCAGTGACTGGGTCCTTCAGCATGGCAGGCTTAAAGTAATGGGACCCCAATGACCTTTGCCTGGGCTTTTGAAATAGTCATTCTTTGCCAGGAAATAAAAAGTGAAAGACTTCATACTTCTACCAAGTGCTCACTTCCTAGAATGAAGTTGTTCCCAGAACAAACTGAAGGTTAGGCTGCTATTTCTCACTGCCCAATAACAAGATGCAGATGAACTGGGGAGGAGGAGAGTTTTTTATTTCTGTAACTAGTTGCAGGGATAAGGCCCGGAAAATAGCTCCATACCAACTCAAAATTACAAAGTTTTCCATAGTTTATATAACTTCTCTATGTCTACATGTAAGTGTGCATTTATCTAAAGACATAAGTGATTAACTTAATTTAATCTATAGCTAAATTCTGAGTCTTGAAGACCTTCCTTTGGAGCCTGAGTAAATTTACCTAATCTAAATGGCTCCAGGTGCTGGGGTGACTACTCTTATCTTGTCTCCTACTAAATCATGGACGTTTGGGAAGTTCCATCACCTATAAACTTGTTTGTGGAGGCCTGGAGAGTTTCTTCAGACCCCCAGTAAAACTTGTTTAATCCTAAAGGGGTCCTGTTA